GAGGGGGCGACCCGCTGCTCCTGCCTCCGCCCCGGCCCCGCCCGGGGCGCTGCCCCCGCCGGGCCCGTGCCCGTGGCTGAGACCCAAAATCTAGGGCCAAAGGGCACCGGGGGGGGGCAGGTGCCCCGGCCAGGGCCCAGCCCGGAGCCCCCGCCTGGGTGGGAGACGGGCACAAGAAGCCCCAGCACCCACAGCCAAGCCCGTGAGCGCAGGGGCCTGGGGGCCTGGGACCGAGCTGCCCCCAGCGGCCCACGAGCGCCTGGCCTGGGACGATTGGATGTCTGCTGTATCGCAGCAAAGCCGCTGGGATCTGGGGGCTGCCGGCCGTGTTGTCAAAGGCTTCGGGGTCCGACGTGGGGGCCCGGAAATGGCTCAATGTTGCACCCCGACTGGCCGGCCTCATTGTCACGACCAGCACTGCGGTGACATCGACTAAAACAGCCTGGACTAGGGTATGTCATCGGCATCCAGCACTCACTGTCATTTTGGGATAGCCCCAGCACTTTGGGATAACCTGCTCCAGGGCCACACCTGCCCCCACCCAGGGCACCAGGGAGGGGCCACCTGGCCCAGCAAGCAGCACCGGGTGCTGACGCGTGCACGTGAGCCTGCACCAGGGCTGCCAGGGAAGGAGGCACAGACTGGACCGGTGCTGAGGCCTGCCCCCACATCAGCTCAGGCTGACGGTGGGACAAGGCCTGGGCCCGAGGCCAACAGGCTGGGATGCAGATGAGAGCCGTGCACGAGGCTGGGCAGGGGGGAGGAGGGCAGGGGCTGTAGCTTGTGCCCGTGGTGGGCTGCAGGGGCACAAGCCCGGCCCTCCCTGGGCGCAGCACAGAGTGGACAGACACGGCCACCAGGGAGAAGAACCACGTTTACTGCACAGACACGGAGCAGCACGGCAAGCAGGTTGCACACGTACCAGGGCAGGCGGTAGCGCGGTGGGCCCCGCCGGCCCGGGCGGCTGGGGGCAGGGGGTCACACACAGACGACTGGTTCCTCCAGCAGGAAGGAGTGGGGGGGCCCAGGGCTCCACACGGGGCAGGGGTCAGTGCCTGCCCCAGGAGGGAATATTAAATATCTATGTACAGCCGCCCTGGGCTGAGCAGAGCAGAGGTGGGCCGGGGCTCAGTCCCCCATCTTTACTTTAGAGGTCTGGGGAGAGACAGAGAAAGGAGACAGGTTAGAAAGGCCCCTCTGGAGCCCCTACAGCCTGGCATCCCCGCCCCTGGGCTGTGCAAGCTGCATAGCCCCTAGGCACCATGCCCGATAGCTGCAGGCAGCGCCCTGCTCTCACTGAACCCTGTGCCCCACCCAGAGCAGCCCCAATGCCCCAGCAGAGCTCCCACAGCGCCCCTGCCAAGTACCCAAGGTGCCCCAGGGACATCCACGCCCTGGGCTGCTCCTTGCCCCTGCTGCAGAGGGCGGGTAGAACAAGGGCTGCAGGGAGCTGGCCAGGCCCTGCCAAGCACCACGGCCCTGGCAGCTGGGAGCGCAGCCCCTGTGCTTCCCCTCTGCAGACTGGTGAGAACTGCTCCATGGCATCATCATCCCTCCCCACCGGGCAGGGGGCCAGGGTACCTGCAGGATGGAGACGATGACACCGAAGAGGCCGATGGCGCTGCCGAAGATCTCCACGATGAGGATCTTGACGAAGAGGCTGGCGTTCTGCGCGTCAGCCAGCGCGGCCCCGCTGCCCACAATGCCCACGCACACCCCGCAGAACAGGTTGGACAGCCCCACCGTCAGCCCCGCCCCGAACATGGAGAAGCCTGCAAGGGAGGAAGGGGGTGCCACGAGGGCCAGCCCACACACATGGGAACCTGGCCTGTGGTCCCTGGGGAGGGGGCAGGACCCCCATGTGCCCAGCTAGTCACAGCCCGGATGCAGTGCCCAACAGAGGGGGCAAGCGGGCTGAGCCTAGGCATGTTGGCTGGCTTCTTGTGGCACCACCACGTCCAAGGGGAGCAGCACTCTGTCAGAGGCTGCCCCATGGAAAGTGTGGTGCAGTTTGTGGGTGGCACTGCCCCCCCCCCACTGAGCTGGAAAGGGGGCCCACAGGCACAACTCAGCGGATGGAGCCCGATCCCACCAGGGCCAAGCGACAAAGCCCAGGAGCGCAGGGGTGGCAGGACAGTTCTGCCACAGGCTGGGCCCGGCTCCCTCCTGCAAACATAGCAGGGCGCTGGGAGAGCGCCAGCTGGGCGGAGAACACCCCAGGGCCACACGTGGCGAGGATGCAGGCACACGGCTGGTGCGGAGCCCTGGCAAGGCAGCACCTACCTGCATGGTAGTTTCTGGCTCCGATGGACTCCGGAGTGGTGCCGGTGAAAGACTGGGGGAAGGGACACGGCGGGGGTCAGTGGCACCGCACAGACCCTCCCCGAGGGGCAGGGCCCGGAACACACCCAGACATCCAGGGCGCAGCCCTGCAACGTGGGCCCCTGCATGAAGCAGCCCTAGAGCACTGCCCCCCAAGGCTATGCCCACAGCTCTCTGCCAGCACGTGCCCCAACACCCCATGTACGCAGCACTTCCCACAGACCCCTGCCCCTCAGCAACTCGGCACCATCCACTCGGATAACTGCCTCCCACACCGCGCCCCCTGCTCTGGGACCTGCCCGTCCTTGCAGAGGAGTCGGGGCCAGGAACGCCCCCGGGCTTCGCCGGTTGCCAGTGGGGTGGGAAGTTTTTTCCCTTCCTGTACCTACAAGGCTTAAGGTTGTTTCTTGCCTCCCTCAGCAGCATTGGGCATCAGCTGCAGCCCAGGCTGGGGCCTGTGCCAATGTTCCTGCTGGGACTCAAGCTGGAGGGTCCTGGCATGGCCTTTACCTGGGGTCTGTCCAGCATCCATGACCCCCCGCTTTGCAGCACCAGCAGCAGGGTGGCAGCCACAGCCCCCCTGCTTTCCCGGGAGGCAGGAGTGAGGCCTGGTGCAGTCAGGGGTGCCGGTGTCATGTCGCTCAGAGGCTGGACATGTGGTTTGTCTGGGCTGCTTTGGACAGGGCTGATCCTGCCTCGGGCAGGGCTTGCCCTGGATGTGACCCTGCAGATCTATGCCAGCCTCGTGGCTCTGGACCCAGGGGGAAGCTGAGCAGGGCACGAGGGGCTGGAGCTCAGCCAGATACCTGCCGACTCCTCACAGTGCAGGGACTGCAGCCCTCAGGCCTTGTGAGACCGGCCAGGCGGGGCAGGAACAGCCCCTGCGAGATGGGTTGGGACCCAGCGATCCCAGCTCTGTGGCTACAGCCATGGGGCTGTCGCACACAAAGGCGCCGCTGCCCCCAGGGCCTGGGCTCCTGGCTGTGGCTGGCAGAGGAAAGCTGTGAAGACTCCCTCCACCCCAAGCCTTGCAGTGGGGTGCCCAGGGGCCCAGCAGAGGCAGGTCCCTGCGCACCTCAGCCATGTTGCTGATGACAATGGCCATGATGATCCCGTAGATGGCCACAGCCTCGCAGAAGATGATACTGTGGGAGAAAGGCAAAGGGGTGAGCATGGGGCCAGCTCCATGGCGTGGGGGGCCCCGTCCATATGCTTCACTGGCAGGAGCAGGGCACACGTGCCCGGTCACCTCTGTCGGCACCCACCCCCGGCTGCTCCGTATGGAAGGCGGAGACCCCCAACAGTGCATCCAATGGGGCACTCCTGTCCCTCCCTCCCTCCTGAGCAGGGATTGAGCCCCCGGCCCTGCCTCAGCAGGGCAGCCCTGCACCCTCTGCCACCAGCTCTGACTGCTCCAGCACCTGTGCTCCCCTCACCTGACCAGGTTCTTGGTTTTGATGCGCGGGGCCTTGACACCGCCCCCGATGATGCTGGAGCCGGTGATGTAAATCCCCCTGCAGCAGAGGAGCACGTCAGTGCGGGCAGCCTGGGGCATGCTGGCCCTGGGCTTCTCCCCTCAGCCCAGGCAGGCCCTGCACAGCCACCAGCCTCCCTGCAGGAGCACCAGGTCCTCCCAGGATGCCCAGGGGAGCTCAGCCCCCGCATCACAGCCAGGTCACTGAGGACCATGGCTTCACCCCCTCCCAGGCAGCGTGGCAGGAAAGCTGCCTCCCTCCCAACTGGCCGGCCCTAGCTACACAGGCCCAGGGAAGATGGGGAAGCTCGCAGGCACCTCCTGTGCCTGGGACAGACCCTGACTCACCAGGCAGCGCCCACCACAGAGAGCGAGATGGCCAGGCCGATGCCCAGGCAGGCCCACATGAAGGGCGAGGTCTCCGTCAGGAACCTGGGCAGGGAAAGGAGCTGCTTGTGAAAAATGAGGGCAGGAGCCAGCCCCGGGTGTCAGGGTCACAGGCAGGGGGCTCCCAGCAAGGTGCCGCTGTCCCTCCCTCCTGCCTTCCCCAGCCCCCTGCACCCTCAGCTCCACAGCTGGGGCTGGGAGGCTTCTGGGACATGAGCTTGAGTGCCCAGGAGCTGGCAGGGCAGGGAATGGAGCTGGAGCTGGCTGCCCAGAGGGGCAGGGCAGGACCCAGGGGGGAGCACTGGCACCAACCGCTGCACCCTTCACACCAGGGCCAGGCCTGCACCTGCCAGACAGCTCTAATCACTGAATGCCAGGCCAGGCCCCTGAGCCTCCTGCCAAAGCAGCTGCTGTCACACACTGCGATGCCAGGAACACCCCCCTCCCCATGCAGACAGACCAGCTGTGAGCCAGTTGAGGAGCAGGTGCTGTTTTACACCCCACCCCTCAGACAGCAGCTGCCTGCCTGGCTCCAGCCCCAGCCCCAGCCCCATGCCCCTGGCAGTGTGCCGGAGGGCAGGAGTTTGACAGAGGGGCCCTTACCAGGCCACATCAAAGCGGAAGCCCAGGTCAAATATTGTGTAGCAGACCCCTGGAAAACAAAGCAGGGAAAGCTCCAGTCACACCCCGACCAGGCCAGTACCAGCCCGGTGCTAAGAGGCAACGATGATGGGGACACCCCATGACAGGCCTGGCTGGAGGGCACAGGCCTCCTGGGGCCCCCCTGTTCTCCCAAAGTAGTCATCCCCAAGATGGGCCAGGGCAGAGCCCCCCATGGGCAGGGCTTGCAGCTGCCCTGCCTGTCACATGCTCCCCTGGAGAAAGCATCTCATCCGCTCCCGAGGGCCCGTGCTGCCTGCAGAGCCTCACATGCTGCCCAGTCACCACCGCACCAGCCCCACAGTGCCCGGGAGGAGTGAGTCAGTGCAAGGGACGGGCCGACTATCGCTGGGGGACGAGGCATGTGCATGGCGTAGACCAACTCCTGCCGGCAGCAGCCAGAGGCACAGGCCAGCCGCATCCCAGACGCTTTTAATGCACGACCAGGAGTCCGCGCCACAGACGGGCAGGGCGAGGGGGACAGCATCGGTGCAGCCTCCTGCCCCGGAGCCCTGACCAGCCACACTCTGGCACTTAGCAAGAGCTGCCCCCACCAGCCCAGGGGGAAGTGGGGGAATCTCTGCTGCCGTCCCAGCCACAGTCAGGAAAGAGCCAGCGGGGCAGTCTGAGCGCGGCAGGGGCAGCTTCTGCGCGCCCG